GCTAGTTTCTTTTTCTCTGCAGTTCCTTTGCAAATGATTTTCCTAAGTCTGTTCTCTGTTGCTCCTGGAAGCAGCCCTCCTCTGCTGTGGGATGTTATCTCTCATTCTGACTTGGGACCTCTCTTGCCTTTTTTCCTCTTCCTCCAACAATCTGCCTGTCAGATACTCCAAGGTTAAGTCCCTCTCTGGCATGGATTCAAGGCTTGTTACTAGCACATTGTAGTCTTCTGGAAGACTGCTCAGGATCACATATACTTTGTGATTCTCTGTGAACTCCATGCCCCTCTGCTCAAGCTTCACAAACAGATTTCTCATTTGCTATAAGTGCTCTGACATGCTTCCGTCGTGGTCAAGCCTCACTCTGTATAATTTACATGTCAGAGCAACTTTGCTGCCAGCAGAGTCCCATACATAGACACGGTGCAGAGCTTGCCAGCACTGCCTAGCTAAGGTCATTCCATGCACGTGCATTAATTGGCTATCCTCTAAACACAATTATTGTTGTTAAAGCCTTTTCATTTTGCTGTATCTGTTCCACATTCAGGATGGGGTTGAGGGTTGGAAATGATCTTCCACAAATCCTCCCTTCTCCGCAGCATTTCAGCTTTAACTGACCAAGTCATATAGTTCCATTCATTTAGCTTTCTGAGAGGGACTCCTCCCATTCTGCTGCCCCAACTGACGGGTATTTTGCTGCCTTTTTATTTCCGTTCCGTCCTTTACCCCTCCTGAACTCTGAATGGCAGGACGCTCACCTTACTGGGCTCTCCGCTTCTGGAATGCTTCCTCTAGCCCTCTGGCCTCTGGCTTTGTGGCCCTCTGGAGCAAGGCCTACATACGAACGGTTTGAGTTAAGAGCAGCTCCGTTTGCAAAAAGGTTGCTTCGACTTGAGAACGGAGCCTCGACTTAAGAACCAAAAAAAAGACAGAGAAAACCTATCCTGCCCTTCTTTTGATCTAAGTTCACTTTAGGTCAAAAGAAGAAGAAATTTAAAAAATCCACCCCCTAGTGGTAGATATGGATTAACCGGCTTTGCATTAGTTCCTATGGGAACTAATGTTTCAACTTAAGAACAGCGCCTCGATTTAAGAATGAAAAACAGCAGATATGGATTAAATG